CCCCCCCCACCCCCCGACCCCCGTCCCCTGCGGGCAGCGACGGACAGGACGCAGGCGGGCGGGCTCACCCCCGCCAGGCTCCCTTCGTCGTTCACAGACTGATGCTCGTCATTTTAAGGAACACCCCCTCTGGCGTACGGGGGGTCGAGCCACAGGACGCGGAGCTGCACAGAGAGCTGAGCGCCGTGACGCCGGGCCTGTCCTCGCCGGGGCCCCGGGACCACCGGGCGGCCGGACAATAATTTCCCAGGTAGCGGAAACAAACCAAAACAAAACGGAAACACGCTGCGAGCACAGAGCCTGCCGCGGGGCGACGTTTCCTGAGCACAGAGGCGGCGGCTGGGGCTGAGCAGAACCGCCAGGCAGCCCACGGGCCGGGGCCCCGACCCAGGCCCCAGGCCGCCCTGCACACCTCTCGGCCCCCAGGCCTCCCCTCTGGTTCCCCGTGTGTGAGCAGCTGCCGTTACCGGCTGCGGCCTTCCTGACACAGACACGGAACGAAAGTGTCCTTGTGCAAGTAACTACCCTCACGGGACATCCTGGAACTTGGGGACAAAGTGCGGACAGTCGGCCGCCCACACTGAATGCAGGGGCCCCTGTCCCCCAGCCGAGGGCCCCCCTGAGGGCCCCGAGGGCGCAGGACCCACAGTCACGAGCTCCCGGTCTCTTCCCATCACCGCCACCTTGCTGAGAACGGACTTGAGAATAAAGGTCCTTCCAGAGATGTCCCCTTTCTGTACCCAGTGACATGCCGCCCGCGGCACCCGGCACCAGAGCCGTCGGCCTCGAGGCCCCGACGTGGCCTGTCTGCCGGGGAGACGCCAGCTCCAGCCACAGGCCTGGCCAACTTCCTCCCGAGTTGCCACAGCGACAGCACCACAGCTCGGGGCCAAAATCACTCAGAAGCCAGCTCGGACCACACCCGCCTCCCGGCCCTGGGGCAGCTCTTTCCTGAGACTGAGGAAGGGGCCTCCTTCCCCTCCCCTGCCTTCCCCTCCTGCGCCCACCAACCCTCTCAGGGGCAGGGGCGCTGCGGCCCGGGGACAGGACGGCCACGTGGGGCCCTGCGGGCGCACACACTCCCGTCCAGCCCAGGACGCAAGTTGTTCTAAACGTTCTCTTTCCCCCAACACAGGGTCACTATTTGTGCCGGCTGAGCCCTCCGGGAACCGGGAACTCCGTGCCCCGCCCCCCAGGAGCAGCACGAGGGGACGTGGGGACAATGGCGGAAGCCCTCCACCCACGGACCCCTCGAGGTGGACGATGGCGCGACGGCCCAGAGGGAAGCGTGACAAGAGCTGGTGGGGCCCCCGGGTCCCTGCGGCCGAGCGCATTCCCGGGGCTCACGGCCCCCCGCAGGGACGCCCACCCATTCCCGGAGGTACACCCAGCCTCGTTCCAGAAATAACGGGAGGCCACTTATATCACCCGAGAAGGGCTGGAGAATTTAACGTAACAATTTAAGACGGCAACGCGATACTTTAATATTTATGAGATATTAGTCATTCAGAACAAAAAGAAGGGGATTTATTAAGTAACTGCCCAAACCGGGAGGCAATCACAGAGGTCCTTCGGTAGGTGACGGGTGATACACTGGTCCGTCAGACAAGGGGCTACGACCCAGCACCAGAAAGGAACGAGCTACCACTAGCCGAGAAGAGACACGGAGAAAACGGGCACGTCACTGAGCGGAATCAGCTCGTCTGAAAAGGCCGCGTCCGGAACGACTCAACTGGAAGACATTCTGGAAAAAGCAGAAGTACGGAGGCGGAACGGACCAGCGGCCGCCAGAACCTGGGGGAGAAGGAGCACACAGGTGCCCCGGGTAGTGCAAGGGCCCGTGAGGGGCCGTCACAGCGCACGCCTGCCCTCGCGTGCAATGGCTCTGCCCTCGTGCGAGCACTTCGTGGGGCACAGGAACGACGCACGCCTGTCCCTGTCCGTGTGTCCGGGCCAGCAGACTGTGTGCCCCCCGGAGCGACGCCCACCATCCACTGTGACTGTGGCGACCCGCTCCGGGCAGGCAGCGGAGGCGTGGGGGGGTGGGGGAGCGGGCATCAAGGCGAAATCTTTCGACCTTCCTCTCCATTCTGCCCTGAAGCTAAAACTGCTCTTAAAAAACACGCTTGATAAAAGAAAAATACACAAGTATCTCTCACAAAAATATGTTAAAAGGGTAATGTTTTCTAAACTTCTAACACATGATGGCGAAACGGAGGCCTCTCCGTCCCTGCCCGGCCTCCCCTGCCCAGGGCGCCCTCCACCCCCCGAAGCCTGGCTGGTGAATGCTGGGCCCCAGGCGCCGGCACCCCGGGGGCCCTGCCACGGGAGGCTCTCCCCGGACTGTACGCCCCTGGGAGCCTGGAGGCTGCGCACACGCCTAGCAGAGGGTTCAAAGCAGCCTTACGAAGGTTACCGACCGGCTCAGGAGCAGACGCTCCGGGAGGCACGGGGGGCGGCGAGGGCCTCCCCAGCTCGGGGGCCCCCAGCCACAGAAGCCACGGAGAGCCTGTGCGCGCCAGCCTCCCCGCACGGCAGCGCCCGAGGACGCAGGGGGCACCCCCCAGGACCCCCCAGGACCCAGGACAGGGGTGGGAGGCCCTGCCCAGGGTGGGCCTCACACCACAGGGAGGTCACAGGCACGGCCCCCACTTTCACCTCGCGCCTCTCATCAAAGACACTTGCTGAGCACCAGAAACCGGGGGCTGAAAATCTTCTGATGGGAAGGCCCCCCGCGAGCCCCCTGAGCAGCCGGGCCCAGGGAAGAAAGCGAAGGCGGCCCCGGGGACCCCCTCCAGTCCCGGCCTCTCCCAAACACCTGCCTTGGCTCCCGAGGCCTCAGAGGCCTGGAGACCCACAGCCGTGGAAGACGAAACTGGGCGCAGATAAAGTTCAGGCGCCTCCGCCCGGCTGCAACGCTTGGTCTTTAAAAACAAACGGGACGTTGCAGCTTTCAAAGCAGGGGTGGCGAGCGGCACGGAAAATATTATACACGCCTCGCAGGAACGCGTCGCGGCCTCCTCGCGCCAGCGCCACGTGGGCAGCCCGGCCAGGGGAGGTGAGGCCCGGCTCCGGGGTCGGCAGCCGCCCCCCGGCCCTCCCGGCCTGTGCACACCCAGCGGCTCAGGCTCCCGCTCAGCATCCAGCCTGGACGCTGCAGGGCTCACTCGTTTGTTTGTTTAACTGAAACCTTTCTGCCCAGAGGAGAAAATGAAAGAGACCCGGCGGCGGCTCTCGCTCACTTCGCGCTTCCTCCGGGAGGGGTCGGGGCACCCAGGGCGCTCAGGGACGGGTCTGGAGGGGCTCCATGGCCCCCTGCCCTCTGGCAGCGGCCGCTCACCACCTGTCCCTCGACAGTGTCCAAGTGTGGGGCCTCGACACTCGCGTCCCCTGGCGGAGGCGGCACAGCCCCCCCCCCCCCCCCCCCGGAGTAGACAGCTCTCCAGCAGAAGTGGCCGAAAGACCCCACACAGGGTGACCCTGCGGCCGGAGGGCGGCCGCTCTCAGGTGCCCACTGGGCAGCAGCTCTCAGCGCTGGCCTTTCCCACCCACCCACGGCTCCCCACTAAACTGGGTCTCCGCGGGGGGGGGGCAGGATGGGGGCCCCAGGCACACCCCCCAGGCCAGCCCTCCTGACTTCAATCTGGTTCCTGCGCCCCCACCCAGCCCTGCACCCGGAACACGGCGGGAGGACCCCTGCGCCCCTCCGGCGCCCCCTCCTCCTTCACAGGCCGCGCGCAGACCCACCTGGGGCAGCGGCAGTGCCTTCGTCGCTCTGGTTAAACTCGAAAAGGAAATCGAAGTCGAACTCCTGGTCCTCCTCCAGCCCCGTCATGTTGGGATGGGCCGGGTCGGGGCTGCGGTCCGCACCTGGGCTCGCGGCCCAGGGTCTGGGGTCAAGGTGCGGCCCGATCAGGTCGGGGTCTGGGGTCGGGGGTCAAGGTCCTGCTCAGGGTGGGGGCGGGGGGGGGAACGTGGCGGTCAGGGTCTGGGATCAGAGGGAGAGGGGGGTGGGGGTGGGGCGGGGCCCTGACCCCGATCAAGGGGCCCCGGGCCGGGTCCGGTCGGGGTCGAGGTCGGGGTCGCGGCCTGGCTCGGCGCCGCGGCCGCGGGCACCTGTGGTCGCGCCGCGCGGGGCTCGGCTGCGCCCGGCGCTGGGCCGCGCGTCCTCGGGTAACGTGACTCCCGCCCGCGCCCCTCCCCCGCGCCCGCCCCCGCGCCCCTCCCCCGCCCCCCCGCCGTTTCCGGGTTGACATAAACAAGCCGCTCGCCGGCCGCCGGCTTCCGAGTTTTAAATAAACTCCCGGGGCAGCCGGGGCGCACGCGGCTCCCTCGTGGCCCCCGCCCCCCGCCCGCGCCCAGGGGTCCACGTGCGCCGCGGCCCGAGCCCCCGCGGCCCGCGCCCGTCGGGCTGGCGGCAGGGGACGCGGGGCGCGGCCGAGAGCGCGCGTCGGGGACCCCCGTCCCCGCCCGCAGACCCGCCGGCCCGAGGGGGGCGAGCGCGCAGCTCCCGGGCGCCGCCGAGGGGCGCAAAGACGGGGAACGAGCGCCAGACAGGTGGGGGCTGCACCCCAGCCTACTGCATTCGTGTCAAAGTTAAAAAAAAAAAAAATCCCTGAAACTGCGTGGCCTCTTGTGCAGCGAGGAACCAGCGCGCCCCGGCTCCTGCCTGAGTCTACAACACGCACGTCCGGCCCGGGGCGGGCGGCCTGGGCGCCGAGAGCAGCCCGCGGGGCAGCAGCGCCCGCCGTCCAGCCTGCCCTGCCCCTGGGACGGGCAGCGCCGGGGGCACCAGCTCTCAGCCCCCGGCGCCCCGGACACCCCGCAGGCGCCGAGGCCGCGCGGGCTTCCTTAGGGCAGGGAGATGCTCGCGAAGCTCTGCGGTGGCCCACGGGCTGCCCACACCTTCGGGCGCCGGCCGGCGGGCAGCAGCCCTTTCGCGCTGTGGCGCCCTCAGAGGCCAGCGCCCCCCGCCCCCCGCTTGCGTAGCCCTGCAGCTGCTCACAACACACGCACACACCCCTGCGCGTCCACGAGTAGCTGCACAGCTCAGAGCTTGCGTGTGTGGGGACCCACACCCCGGGCGCCGCCAGCGAAGGGGCCGGGCCCGTGTGGGCACCTACGTCCCGGCTCCAGCTGTCCCGACCGACCCCAGGGTCGGGGCTCCAAGGGCACCGACGTCTGGGAGAGCAGCAGCGGGAGTGCGGCCCGCGCCCCGCGGACGACAGTCCCGGAGAGGGAGGCTGGGACCCGGCTAAGGAGCTCCAGCCGGGCAGGCCCTTCGGCCCTGAGGGCATCGCCTTTTCCCGAAGCAAATAACCTGTGGATCATGTGGCACCAACCCCCCTGCCTCTCCCCCCTGACCCTTTTCAAATGCCTGGTTTTCTCAACGGTGATAAACTATCGTTCACTGTGCCCTGATTTAGTGTCTAAGAGTCGTGCTCACTTTGGGATGCATGTTGGAGGGTGTGTTGTTTTAGTTCGCTTTTTTTGCTGACCTTCGGGCAAACGCAAGTCTGTTTCTGTCGAGAAGCCGCAACATTTCATTTTCTTTCCAGCTGTTTTCTCTGCAGCCACCTTCTCGTCCGCACCAGAAACGTGCACACAACAGCCCTTACAGTCCGTTCGGACGAACACTTTCTGTTCCACCGTTTCAGAGAAAGTGGGTTTACACCTCCGCACACACAGGTGCCCACGGGCGCCCCGCGGGGCCACACCACCAGGACTCGGCCCTGCCCAGCCCGAGGCTGAGCTCCGCCCCCCCGCCCCCAACAAGCAAAGCAAGCAGAAGAGGAGGCCAGTTTTTTAAATGCTCCTCTTACCAGCACCGCCTCCCAGTGCCTTTCAACTGGTGTCGGTGTGGAGCTATTTGCCAATTCAGCAGACCCTCCTGTCCTGATGGAAATGTTTAGTTTGGCGCTTCCTCTCTGAGGCTGCGGGTGTGCGGAGCACAGAGCTCCGCGCTGGGTGTGAGAGAGCAAGGCCTCCTCTAATCTGGATTAGGAAACAACGCGGCACAAAGTTAAGTGTCGAGAACAGAGCGAGCTTTGTTCTGTTCCCGATAGCCCCGGGGGCCTTCTGTGTGGAGCAACCTCGGAGTGGGTGGGTGGGTGGCTACCTACCAGGCCTTGCGTTTCCCTGCGCCCCCCACGCCCTCCACGCGGAAAAACAAGCACGAGGCCTTCAGAAACAACAGCGCCTAATGAGCCTCGACCCAGATGCTCATTACACCAGAGGGAAGTGCTGGGGCGCTCGCTCGCACGCACTCTCGCGGCAGCCGGCGCCTTCGTCAGGCCCCGGGGAGGGGACCGAGCGCGGCCCGGGCGCTGGGCAGGCAGGCGTTGACCTGCAGGAAGCTGTGTGCCTGGCATACGCTCAGCCGTCTCCCTGAAGGGTTCGGTCACACTTTTCCAGCCGCCTCACTTCGCGGTACTCACGGCCATTCACCTGGGCCGAGGCCTCACCCCAGCCTGCTGTCCTCCTGCGGGGGGGCCTTTGTCAAGTGCAGGAAACAGACAGACCCCCCCCCCCAGAGATGCTCTTGTTTCTTGTGAAAGAAAAGAGATTGTTGCAGGATTGGCCCACCGACTGTTCAAGTAAGGAAACTTTGAAAGACCTGCCCTTTTTACAGCAGTGTTTAAAAACACGTGGGCAGCGTTTGGGAAAGGTGTCCAAAAATTCAACACCAAACCCTCAGCACACTTTTTGGAAACTGTTCTAACAGCAAGAGCTCGTCCCACAAACCTCACCTGGTATTTACATCTAAACATCTAAGCCCGGCGAAGCTTCCTTCCCTGAAACACAGTGGGTGGCAGACAACCGCTGGCCTTCTGAGGAGCGAGCCCACCGGTCGGCTCCCCTGAGTTAAGGAGCCGCCGCGGGAAGCAGCACGCAGCTCCGGGTCTGCTCTGGGAAGGCGGCGGGAGAGTGCTGGTCCTCAGAAGCACGTCTGCCCTTAGAAAAACGCACTGCCAAGTTCGCCAGCTTTCTTAAAATAATTTAAATACGGTACTCGAGCCCTCCTAAGGCCTTTGCGAAGGCGACCCGGGTTCCCAGGGCGCCTCGGCCACCCTGCTGGCTCACCAGGATGCTGTCACTGGCGGGAGGCAGCTTTCAGACACCTGCGGGGGGGGGGGGGGGGGGGGGGGCACAGCCGGGGCCCAGGCCGCTGGGGAGGTGGCGGCACTTCCGCGGGCAGCCGGCCAAGGGGGCCCCTGAGACTCACTGAGGGGAGGGGAGTCGCCATCACCGGGCTTCACCGGCGCGCTAGGAACGAGCCGCTTGAAACCTGGCGGTCCGTTTTCAAACTGTCCTGAGTCGTTTTCTACGGCTGAAGTCGCCTCTACAGACGGCGAAATGTTTTGAATTAGGGGCTGTGTCCAGACGGCGTATTTGATGCCTTGGGTCCTGCGGGTCGAGCCGCCGGCGACACAGAGCTGGTGCGGGGGGCGAGACCCCGCCGCCACCCGCGGACCCCCACCTGGCGCTGCGCCGCCGGCCTCCCAAGCCGCAGGGTGGCCTCGGCCCCGTGGGGACGCTGCGGCCACACTTCGCTCCCAGAGAGCCCTCCCGCGGCCGCGAAGCGTGTCCGGCGGCGGCGGCGGCCCTGCCCTGGCCGCGTCCCCACCGCCGGCGTCTGAGCCGCTTCTGCCGCGGGTCCGCCGCGGGCTGCGCTCAGCGCTGGGGGAGCGGAGACACCTATTGGCAGGAAGGCGCGCTCGAGACCAGGGCTGCTCCGGGGACGCCGGGGGGACACCGCTTCCCAGGCTGCGCCGCGCGCCCCGCCGGGGCCGGGACCCCGGGGGCCGCGGGGGGCCGGGGGGGGGGGGCCGGGGGGCGGCCCGGCCGGCTTACCTTCCTCCGCCGACTTCATGGTGCCGCCGGAGGGCGGCGCGGGCCCCGAAGTTTCTCCGCTCCCGCAGGCTGCAGCCGGAGGCCCGAGTGGAAACTTGGAAGGGACTGGAAAGCTGGTCCTTGGCATCCACGCGGCGGCGGCGGCCGGGGGGCAGGAGGAGCGGGAGGCGCGGGCGCCCGGCGCCGCCGCCCCGGCCGGGTCCCCCGGGAGGGCAGCCCCGTCCCCCGGCTCAGCGCCGCCCGCCCCGCAGGGGTGTCGCCGGGGGGCGTGTGCGCGCGCGGCGGGCCCGGCCGCGGCCCCGGGGCCCGGAGGTGTGCGCCCGCGCCCCGGTGCCCGCGCCCGGCCGCCCGACCCGGCGCGGGGACTGTGCCGGCGAGTTCGGAGCCCTCCGAGTGTCGCTCTGACGCAGGGCCGCGCTCTGCCTCCTGCCTTTTTAAAGCTGGAAAACACCTCCCCCGCCTCCCCGCCGGCCCGGCCGCTCCCGCGCCCCCTCCCTGCCGTGACATCACGCCCCCGCCCGAGCCGGCTCGGGGCCCGGAGGACAAGTCGCCGAGCGCCTGCCCTCCCCGCGCCGGGCCGCTGCTCGCCGGGCCCGCGGGGCGCAGGGGGGCGGGTGGGGGCGCGCGGCCCCGGAGGGGGCGCCCGCGGAGGGGCTGGGGCGCCCTGGGGCCTGCGGGGGCGCACGCGGAGGGCAGGGGCGCACCGGGGGAGACCGGGCGCGCCCCAGGAACGAGCCGGCCGGGACTCGGGGTCCAGCCCGTGTCCTAAGGGAGTCACACTCTGCTTTAAACCGGGGGCGGAGGGAGCCGGGCCGAGGGGGGCCGAGAGCGCCCCGCACGCTGAAGTCATTGTGCAAAATCGCAGGCTTCCCCCGCTGTGGAAATTTGGAAGGGCGCTCGGCTGGCAGCCCCGAGAAAGGAAATTCCCGTCCCGCTAAATTACTAACAGATTGCACGGCAGTCCCGGGACGCGGTCTTATTGTCATTTTTAGTCTGTAAATATCCGAGCGACCCAGATCGCCCGTGGCCTGCGCCGGGGGCGGGGGGGGGGGCGGGGGCGCCCCGAGACCCCCCCCCAGCTCCCAGCCGCCGGCCCTGCCGCCCCCGCAGGGGCTTCGGGGTTTCTCACCGAGGGGGGAGGGGTCTAGACTGGGAGCTGGTTTCGGGAAAGCCCCCCCAACGCCGCCGGGTTCACTTTACACTTTCTTCTGCCCCCCGCCCCCCCGCCTCGGCGCGGCGCAGCTGCCAAAACCCGAGCGTCCGTTCGCGTCGGCCTCGGGTGGAAGGGATTGGAGCGTCGGGGCG